CGGACCATGCGTCATTACGCACGGCCGTAAACATCCCACACCTCTCGCAAAGAATGGCGAGGTGGCTGTCTTTCTTCGCGGAGTATAACTTCTCCGTGGAGTATAAACCGGGACGACTCAATGTCGTCGCGGATGCTCTTTCGCGCCGGCCCGATTTCGAGCCGGACGCACAATCCAACTGTGAGGATAAGCCCACTGTTGCGACACTGTCAGTCAGTGTCCCGTCGTCAAGTTTACTTGACGACGTACGAAAGGCATACGCGGAAGATAAGGATCTTCTGCGATTGATGGATCATCTGGTGAATCCATCCAGTAATCCATGAGGGATTTACCGGCTTTGTACCGATCCTCATCGGATCGGTATAGTACACGCGACGAATTGCTGTACTATACAGCTGTTGCCGACGACACGCCTCGTGTCTTCGTACCCGCTCATCATGATTTGCGTTTGCGCATCATGTATGAGTGTCACGATGCCCCAACAAGCGATCATCGTGGAAGGGAAAAGACTTACCTCACGGTAAGTCGTGACTTTTACTGGCCCCGCCAGTATCAGTTTGTTCGCAAGTACATACGTGCTTGCGAGGTTTGTCAACGGGTGAAGCCTAGTCCTTCATCCCGTGCACCATTGCAGCCTCTGCCTGTTCCGACAGAGTGCTGGCAGTCCGTTTCCATGGACTTCGTCTTCGGATTCCCCGAAGACGCTCACAATAATAATGGTATTCTTGTGTTTGTTGACCGATTCATCAAGATGGTACATCTTGCTGCTATTCCCGAGTCTATCAAGGCTCAAGGTTGTGCTCGTGTCTTTCTAGACACGGTCTTTAGACTCCACGGGTTACCCCGTGAACTCGTATCCGACCGTGACCCTCGGTTCACGGCGGCATTTTGGCAAACCGTGTTCCGTACTCTCGGAACACGATTGAAGATGTCCACTTCTGACCATCCAGAAACAGATGGTCGGACGGAACGTGCGAACCGTGTCTTCGAAAAAATCCTTCGAGGATATGTCCACTCGTTTCCGAGTTGGAGCGAATTCCTACCCATGGTGGAATTCGCCATCAATAATTCGGTGCATGCTTCAACACAGCACACACCGTTTTACGTGAATGGCCTACGCCATCCACGAGTGCCCATCCTTATAGAGTGTGACTCTTGGATAAGGGGGGAGGGACTCGCTCGAGCAAAAACCGTTGTGGCTCTTGCTCATCACGTGTCGACGCTAACGTCGTCACGTATGATGCCGATGTCGAAAATGTCGACATCGATGAAGAACACCACCTCAATAATAGCGGCGACGCTATTACTGACTCGGATGATGATGACGATGCTGGTATATTCAGCATCGTCAACGATTATGCCAGCGAGGAAGAAGACAACCTCGCTGAAGAAGAGAGCAATCTCTTAGCAGTGCGCACGAAGCGCACTGAAAGACAAAACAAAGAGTCAGCAGAGAACTTTCTGCTGGATCGAGAAGCGGTAGTCCGTTTCGTTCAGGACTCCATCGCAAATGCGGTGGTCCGTCAGAAACGGAACGCAGACAAGAATGGAAGAGCAAATGTTCTTTCATTTAAGGTTAACGACCTAGTACTACTGTCTACGGTAAACTTACCTGGACATGCAGTCACTAGTGTCGGCAGTAGTAAACTACTGCCGAAATACATTGGGTCATTTCGAGTGTTGCATCGCAAGGGCAATGCATACACACTCGAATTGCCACGTAGGATGCGCACGCATCCTACGTTTTACGTGGGGAGGCTTAGGTCGTACTGTCAGTACGAGCCTTCTTCTTCCGATGAAGATAGCCCCCACGTTCAAGAACATCCATCAAGTTCTTGCGTTAGCGCTCCATACGATCCGTCTGGTCGCGCAGATATGATACCTCGGAACTCAACCGAGATATCTCCCCGCGAGCTCTCGCCAGCTCGCCGAATAGGGAGCGGACATCCCGCTCGACCTGAAGCTGCGCTGTGGCATAATCGGCGCGATCCCTCGCCCGATCAGCCTCGTTACCCTTGCGGTTCTTCCGCACGGTATCGGTCAAAGCGTAGCGCCGGTTGCGCTCGTGCTTCAAGTCATCGCGCAATTCATCGATTGCGCGATCCATCTCGTAAGGGTCGAGATGGTGAACCGAATCATCTGGAGGAGTTCTTTCCTCCTCCACCACATCCTTTGGTGGATGCTCACGGTGATCAACACTTTCTAGTGGAGCGTATCTTGAATCACCGTGACGATTCAGGATCAAGGACGAGCTACCTCGTCCAGTGGCGGGGGTATCCACCCTCTTAGAACAGCTGGGAGCCCCGCTCTCAGCTGTTGATGGATGTTGAAGGTCTCGTCCGCCAGTATGACGAGACCCATCCGATGAGTCCTTTGGCCCATCGGTAAACACGCGCCCTAGGCGCTTGTAGACGGATTGCAAGTTTGCAATCGCGGCACGCATCTCAGCCGAGATGTGTGCCCTTCCCCAGGGCGAATTTAGGGAGTACACATCCCTATGTACACGCTGCGAGTTGTCAACACAACTCGCACAAGGGTCTCCCCATGTGAGGCAAGGAATGTCTGCCTCACTCGACAAACAGTGCAACCGGTACCTTGCACCGGTTGGTGTTCGCTTTTCGAACCTGAGGCGTGTCGCTTCAAGCTTCTTGAGCCACCCTTCTCGTCCAAAATTCTTTACGTTTTGGACGAACGCGTTCCACGCAGCCAAAAGCGAGGCCTTGTCACGCTTTTGGTTGTTGTTGTACCATCGATGTCTAAGGAAGAAATCGAGATAAAAATCTTCCTCAGCGCGAAAGTTCTTCGCGCTAGAACTCAAGCCGTCAAGCTCAGTTGCATCGAATAAGGGTATTCGATGGTGTTGGCCTGTCTCGTGAGACAGGCTATTGATGAGCCGTTCGGGCAAACGCCACGGCTTCAACTCATCACGCTTCACAGTGGTACCTTTGTCGGTACCACGGCTTCCAGATTGACGACGGCTCGCGCCGTCGTCATCACGCTCGTGCGAAGACGCACGAGCCGGCGGTGGTAAGGAATAGAATTCCTCACCACCCTGATCATCATCATCACTGCCGAACAGACTGTGATGCAAATCACGAGTCCGTTCGTTCGGAAGTGGTCTTGGCGAATACTGAGGCGTCGCCGGTGAGCGAGACGCCTCTGGAGCATTGCCCGAGTCAGACACGTCTGACTCGCCAGAGTAGATGACCTCTACATCAGGGTCATCGTGCGCACGCGGTGTGATACCGCGTGCACCTGCAGCACCTGTTGCTGCAGGCGAAGAAGGGGCGGCAGACGACGAATCGTCTGCCGCAGAGGCTGGCACAGCACCGGGCTGTGTGGGTCTTGAGTCACCTCGCATAGACATGTTGATTATGCGAGGTCAAGTGGAAAGTGAATGGAACGGACCCAACAAGTGCTCCCTGTCCCAATGGTGGCCAACGGGTGGCCTCCATCTTTTCCTTAGTCACACGGTGACTATCAGTTAAGGGGGGTGATGTAACGGGGCAGCCCGTTACATGAAATTGTCACTTTAAGGAAAGTGACAATAAAGAATATGAAGATGATATTCTTTAAACAATATCACCAAAGCGGTGATATTGAAGGGTCGACCAAAGAGTCTGTTCATTGGTTGATATCTTGATGATATCAACCCACCAATCGCCGCAAGACGCGCGCAATGAGTGGTGACGAGACGTCACCATACATCCAGTTATATTAGTATAATTGAATTAAGTCAAACAGAGAGACAGTAGTTAAAAGACTTAATTATATTAATATAACAGTTCTGCTTTTACCCTACCTACGCTTCCTCGCTTGCCACGTGTACGTCTGTCGGGGCACCCAAAACCCTTGCGTTAAGTTACGCAAGGGTGTGCCCCGTTACACAACTCATAACGGATAGGAGTACTCTTTTCGTCAGTCGACAAGTCTGGGCAACGTGGAAGGTCGCTCTTCGCTTAAGAAAATGCGTTGCGGTGCAACTACTTGACATGGGCTGATCGCCATTTCGTTCGAGTCAGTGACAACACGTGGGCGGTGTGTTGATTTCTACGTATGACTTGATATCGTATAACTTGACCTCGTTTACAATACCATTTGGATTTCACCGATACAGCCGTTGTCTTGACAATCGAGGAACCTTGTATCTTGACTACGGTGCGGCATCGTTGCGAAAGTCTATGAATTTGGCTACTACTCTCTGTTGAGCGGCTCCACGTTCATACTGCACAGAGAGTACAAGCTAAATTTCTCTAAAATGAGGGTAAGCAAGTGCCTCAGAGCACGTGCGCGAGGTAAAGGGGAAACAATTTGACGTACAAAAACAGATTAGTCTATGGTATATTGATAGCTCGATTGATGCAGTTCAGCTTATCAACACAGATATGTCATAGTTGCATCAATCGTATCTGAATTGATGCAATTTGGAACAGCAACTATCTGCTCACCAGCGTTGCGCGCGTCTGCCATTCATTGAACGCCTCGTTGGTAAATATAGTCTTTGTACCAGAAAGTAGCAGAAGCCACTGAATATGACATTGTAAGATACTTTTGTTATATGTAATGAATGATCCAGGACAGAATGCGCATTGATATTTACTAATGTCAAGGACATGTAACTGGCTCATCCCGTTGCACTCGTCCTCCTACTCGTTTTGCTCGGACCTTAGTCTTGCTAGTATCTTGCGCGGGACCTGAACGTGACGACAAAATGCGTTTAGAGCATGCTGGTTCGGTCGTACATCGTGACAAGAATAACGACAACTATTTTACAGGGGGTTTTCGTATACTCAACACTTGTGCAATTGTTGACTGGAAACCCTGGCAGGCTGAATGCATGTCACAACGAAGTCATCGCCAACCTGCATGCACTCAAGCCATCTAAACGTGTACTAGATAGACAGCCGGTGAGGAGCAGACCTCTACTCTTCTATTTTGACGTTAACAGTATCAAGCGTGACACGAGCACCTCCTGGATTGAGGCCGAGAAACCACATCTTCTATCGACGAAAGTCAAAGCTTTCGAGCTGGTCCATCGGCACCTCAGTCTCCTCACGCTCCTTGAGATTCTTTACTTTCACACGCTGCTTATCAATTTCTACTTCTCCGAGAATCACGGCGTAACTGCTGCCATAGCGCTCTGCAGCCTGTATCGATAGTTACATGAGGTAAGCAACAAGTTTCATATCCTCTGCTGCCCTTTCATATCATCATCACCTTCATCTGTTTCTTCATATTACCACACTCGTGACAGAAATGAACGGTCATACCAGAGCATCGGAGCGTCTGAAAACAAATCGTGCATACCGTGCATGTAAAAGCAAGCCAAGAGAGAGCCCATTCATCGTTGTGATGTACCTTCGCGACCCGCATCGCTTCATGGAGCACCCGGTTCGAACTACCGCCAATAAGAACGGGTACGACCTGGTATTCCAAAAAGAAAATACAATCATGTACAAGATTACGGTGATGCTAGCTACGCACTGCAACGTACCGCAACAGAAAACACACTCTTGGCTGGCATCTCGCGTAGTAGACTTAGCCTGTCTACGCCTGCCGCCCAGCCCACGCAAGCCGTTGCATGCCCCCCTAACGAACCCGCTAGGCCGTCATAACAACCACCCGCGAGCACCGTTGTACCACCATGAGTTGCTTTCTCCTCGTCAGGAATGTCTGATGTTCGTTGCACAAACTCGAACACAGTATTGCTGTAGTAGTCCTGATTGCCATCCAGTTCGACGACATCGACGTAGAGTAAGCGACTAGTATCACTTTTGGAAAAAAAATCAGGAAGGCAATTACATACCAATCCTCTCACAAGGCGTGGATTCTGCCGATAGTTGATACGTAATGCGCTCAAACCCATCAGAACCGCGTCAAAGCGCTGAAATGAACCAACAACACAGGATCAGTGCGCGTGAAACAGACATAGCGTAGAGTGGCTTTCTTTGCTACCGTTTTGGACTCGTCGGACAGAAAGTCGCTAAGAATCGGTGCGTCCGCAACAAGTTTCTGGTCAGTCTCACTTTTCGAGTCCAGGATCCGAAGAACGCTCCCTCGGTCAAGGCTGAAACACACACCAATAAGCTACGACTATCATACACTGCAAGTAGCATCCCCCACAAAGATTGACGCACCGATTGACACTATCCGCAGACAAATCTTCCTTATACTTCGCAAAATATGATTCCAGTGCAGCGCGATACCGTGCGCGACTTTTGGGTAACAAAAAGTCAACATAAGTCTTTGCTGCGTCATGGATTCCTCGTTGTGCAAAACGGTGTCATTTCATGTAGGACCTTTCGTAATCGCCAAGCGAGTTCAACTCCAGCACAACTTTGTCCTGTATGCCTATGGCGTCCAACGCGTCAGCTGCCATGGCAATAACCTGCATACGAACCAGACACTGTGAGACCACTGCTGTAGACACTTGCTTCGATACACTTATTGTACCTCGACATCAATCGATGGGCCTGAAGAGCCCACAAATTCCACGCCTGACACGATAACGCAAACGCGACGATATCAGACCACCTCCTGACACGTTTCGTACTAAGAACGAACCAAATTGCTGGAACTCTCGGTATCTCCCGCGCTGCGGACGTTCGTACCTACATACTCAGCACAGAAACACAACATTACGCGAAGTACTTTGATCCGACATTGGAACATCATCAACACCATCAATCCCTACGCACCGGAACATGCTGCCCGAGTATGACAGTTTTTGCGGAAGTGAAGAGAGCAGATTATTGCTTACAAGAGCTCGCATAATACCTGCAAATACGCTCCAGAGCATCGTCAGTCATGAGCGCACAGCACTTTCAAACAGCAGTTAACGCATCAAAAAGATCAGCACCAGGTTACCAGCAGTGCCTTCAGGTCTCAGCGTCACGCTCCTGTCAGATTTGTCCGTGAACGTGTACATTTCCTGCACACAATCAATTCAGAACTGACTGACAACGCTCCAGTCATTCGTCTCCACGTACGCACCCACCTTCATGACAATATCGGAGCCATTGCCCAGTGACCGCGCGAACAAGTCGGTGTATTCCAGCACCGGTGTCTGGATCTGATGAAACACGTCGGTACTCAGTATACCGGTATATCCACCGCAAGAGCCTGACGTGATCGTACCATGCGAAACCCGTAGCGCTCAACAGTCTGCTGCAGCACGTCCAGCACCTCGCGATGGTGCTGCAGTTCATCCACTAGCACGTCTCTTGTGCCCCTTACACGACTGACACGCTTTTCCTTGGCGTTGGTCGTCATATAGCGGTAGATAGTACCCATTCGTGTGGTCCTTCCAGTCTGCTGCAGCCTCTGTATTAGCCGAGTCATTGCAAGTCGGTTATTAGTTTTGAGGTTCACTTTGCCAGGCCACTATTCGGTCGCTGGAGATGAACAGAGATACCGGTATTCGTACCGGTCACCTACCAGCTGAGCAGATCGCAACGACCACGTTCTCGAGCTCCGCCGTGATGGCCACAGTCGTCGTAGGTGCCAATCATAGGCGCCACACGCGCCGCTTTGCCGAGAGTTAAGGTGCAAATCTCACATGTTCATACAACGCTCACTCACAAAGACACTTGCGCATAAAGATGTCGCAGACGTGCCTAACATTCACATCTTTGACCTTGGCATCCCTTTTACACATCATTGATGCCTTCCTACTGTCGCGCGCTGATACTGTACATCATGCACAAATCCAGACGATTGCAGGTAGAGACGAAGACGCGCGGCTACACCTTTTAGCTGCGTTATATAATCGAGCCTGTTGCAAATCGTGTCAACTTCTGATGAGGACTGCTTCGCCGCATGTAGGACTTGCGTACATTACGAGGACAAATCTACATCGTGAGCTACCAGATAAAATCACGGCTGTCTTAGTTCTGCGCCATTTTCACATCACTTAGCTGTATACCGATCGGAACCCGAAGCTATTCTCTCAACAGCGAGTTTGTTCGATTGGATGGCACAATTGGCTCAAAGTTGATGCGAACGTACATAGTAGTCGTCTGGAGCTGTTCTGATCGTACTTGCTGCAAATTCTCGATACGCGATATACAGTATACGACTTGTCAGTCGTTTGTTATGTTAAGTATGTTCGCTGTCACGGCCGCGCGTAATAACGACACATGGTGTCTACACAACGAGGTTCTATCTTTTGATATTAGAATCTAGGATCTACCAGAGGTAATCGATCATGCACTTGATTCTTCCGTTCAGCTGCTTGAAGCTGCGAAATTGATACAGGCAACAAGCTTCTCGTCGTCTATAACGTATTCCCGTAGTCCACAACACATTGCCAGATTTTATTGGCAACCTGATGAAAGATTTTTCTCTCTCGCGACATGTAATTGCCAACACCGACAATTGTATCAAGGATTGCTCGATATGGTCGAGTTCAGTTCAGCTTGCTTCTTACCGTGCCGAAGCTACAGCATGTTTTCTGCATGCAACAAAGTAAGATGCAGTGTCACCTCGGCAAGTTGCGCGATTTTTATATACCGTTCGCCCAAAATAAACGGTTCTCTATAATTCCGATAAAAACTATGCATGAGTCAATGACGTTTGAATGTTTCAATGCATCGGCGGTCCGAAGGCAACAAAAAAGCCATATTTGCTTGCTGCGAATACATATATCGTCAGGTTAACATGCAGCTTACACTCACACATCAGGAGAGCACACCCGACGAGAAAAAACAGCTATTTGTCCCCAAAGTTACATCGAAGTCGGCTATAAACGAGCAAATCGCATAAGCCATTATATTACATGTAACGCAACGGTCCAAACTGACGCACTAAACACCTGCAGAATATGGTAGAGATATTCCTAAGCTCGTGCAATATATTTGACCACTACTTGAGCATACCACTGGGAAGTGCCCTCTGCTGTGCACGTGATGACCATTCACGCGTCAGAGTATAACAAAAGGGATCAATGACAACCACAGACGAAAAAGATGGGACCACAAAACATAGTATCTACGATGTCGTTATTCTTTTGTATCGGTGTCTCTCTCTACTTGTATCATTGCGGCATTCATCATATATAATGCGTACACTATCCGCCAACCACTGACGCCTTATTTGTGCAAAGAAGGTAGGAGATGTGTGTAGGCCATCTTCGTTAGCAAGGTCCACGCTCTACAAAGTTCAGCCTACGAACATCTATTGAATGGCTTTTGAGCATGTTCTACCATGTTGGCATTAACTAGGCACACAATTACACATCACCTCAATATTCAACTTGATGGGATCCCACTATACATGTGAAGCCACTCTCAATGAGTTTGTATTGAGAGAAACCTTGTTAAAGAAGCCTACAACTGCTTTTGACGTCTAAAATCAGAATAGAGCTCTGCTCTCACTAATTCCGACATTTTTGACATTCCGCTTCTCTATTGCGATTTTCTAAAAAAACGTATTCGCGTTTACAAATTTACTTGGTGGACGGTCGATTACTCCAATCAGTGTTTTTAGACTGGTGTGAGACAATATGGCCGACGAGATCGTATCCTAATTTATATAAGTCAACGCGCCTTTTTAATCGCTTGTTACCGTAAAAGAGAGTCCCTTCTCTTTCCTCATTAAAACTTCTATTTGTACCTATATCTAGCATTAATGTCTTTTAGATGGACTATAGGATGCCGAGTTGACATGATGATGAAACAAGCTTAGTTACCACTGCTCAGCTACGGAGATCGATCGATTTGGCATCTTTATAATGGAATAGTACTCTGGCCTTTAACGAGTCCATCCTCAGTTCTTGATGAACACAGAAACTGTGCTTGATCATGAATAGACGTACAAGCGTAACAGCTATCGAGGCATCGTGTGTGTTGGAGGGAAGCGTGATGTACACGCTACCTGCTTCAGGTCCATGAGTTAGTCGATTAACCCACATATGCAAATACGGCTCATGTGTTTGTCAAAAGACGCGCAATGAAATTGTCACACGAATAGTGAATATTGGGACAAAACACCCAAAGATAGGCACGTCCCCGTCCACCTTGGTAGGATGTGGGCTAAACTTTAACTCCACTCACATCGTCTTTGTTTTACACAATCTTCGACGGCGTCGTTGAGACCGACGGATTGTACAAATTATAATTTTCGTTGACAGTATTAAAATTAAAGATGTAAATATTGAAGCTTTTCCGGATACCTGGTTCTTCGTTGACTTCATTGGACTTGAAATATGTCATTCATTATAATTGCGGGTACTCTGCCGACAACGTTTTGTTGCTTGCTGTGAGTATATATAAGTGCTCAAACAATTGACCATTAAGTCTTGCAAAAGATACATCTACTTGAAATCTCGATCGTTGATGCAAGCTTATCTTTTCTCCGGCCGCGTCAAGTTCGTATTGCATGAACTTGTAAGACGCGGCATGAGGCTAGTTACCCGTTCAGGCGATCATCATGGCTCTTAACTACCGGGCGCCAACGCTCGAACGATTTATGAGCTCGTTGAGTTTTCGATATCGCCTGAATGGGTAAATACATCACGCGTGACGTAGAAACTTTCCTCGCCCACCTCTTCCATGGTGGATGAGCTCATGCTCGTTGAAATATCAACTGATTGCTATCAGTAGATACAAGGCGTCCAGCGCATAATCTATAAATCAATATATACTTACCTACACAGATAATTCTGTAATCAGCTACCTTGTCATCTCTCGTATATACACGTGTACGAGAAGGTGATACACTAACGTTTTCGTCAATCGATGGTAAAAAGATCTGCATCTAATATACTTGATCTTGCCAATTTGATCCATCCTAATCATCTTTAACTTGTCGTAATAAACATGAAATGTGTTTAGCTTCTCCACACCCAATGAGCGCGTTCATCATTCACTGGTCGCTTTGCTATTTGGTAATTGTCGTATATTTTCAAATAGTGATAACTACTGGAAGATAGTTTTAAGAATTTAGTCAAGATCACTTATCACCAAGAATACGGTTTGCATTGATTTATAAAATGTCAACGTCATGTAACGGGCTCCAACTGCTGCACTTTATCGTCATTGGTGCTTGCGCTATCACTTTATCTGGAAGTTATATTATCACTTGTCTGCTACTACATGCATATCATTCATACCTTATTGATAGATTCAGAGAGGTGGCCGCAAACTATCGATGCGATCGTAACATTACTAAACATATAAGACGACTTTATAGTGGACTGGGATCCCATTTTGCGTGTAGATACTTTGTCTATGCCTTGTGTATCCATCACAAGTTTTGGTTGCTCTCTTCATTATGCATTGATGCGATCTATTTTTTTATTCTGTTTAGAATACGGATGAGTCCAAAATTGCAGAGTATGACCATTATTTTTAATAAGGACGCCGATTTATACTTTGCCGCGTATTTTCGGGTTACGCGGTATACACCGAGCTCATTGTGGCCTGCATGAGGTTGGCCGCCGAGTTGCCTTGTGGTCATTTAACCTTCGGTCGAGTCTCCATCATAATGTGCTGAATGCGCTAGATCTTGCGTGTAAATATCCAAGGCGCCATTTTAATCAATTTGAGCATCCCGGGGTTCGTGCTTGCAAAAGGGCGCGGCCGAATCATTACACTTTATCGATATATCATTACCCCGCCCGATAGAAGATTCGTCGCATTTCTCACAATTTAAAGAAAGCCTTGTTCATAGTACATACCAATTAGATGATCAAGATACGTGTCTACCTTTCAGATTTATGTCTACAAAGGAATGCTACGCGTCTACCATACATCAATGAGTGTGTTAAACTGCAAGATTCATACGATAAGCATAACTTCTACAGTCATTGTGACGTCGATCTCGAATTATTGTCGTGATCGCACGCTTCGTTTAAATATATGACTAAACACAACAGCTACATCGGAACGTGAGATCGAAGAAGAAATATACGATATATAGTTTGTGTTTGAATCGTGGACCTTGGCCACAATTTCTGGAACGACATGGACTTATCTGCCACAATCATCATTCACGAGCAATGGGTGACATAATGGATGGAATGCGCCATACAACGATATGTCACAACACCCATGATTCAGTCTGCATCTTGGTCCAGACTATTGGTCTAATAATAGTCCGACAGAGGTCAACCTAAATTCTTCGATCAACTTCCTTACCGTTTCCTAGGAATCACTTTATTACAAGCTTCCTTTAAACGCTACGATTGGCGCACCCAAAACTTACGACAATCGAACCATTAGCAAAAGCTAAGATGCAGGTGTTCTTAGCAGCATACCAACCCCTGTCGATTCGCTTACAAGGCTATGTGATTGAAGAAAAGTGATCCTAGCGTGGTATGTCGTGGCCGGAAAGAAGAGACATCGCAGTTACAATGAACTCACAAATCATTAGATCGAGCGATCTACCTAGCGTACTCTAGCCACCGCAGCGGCCACCTCGGTATGAACGAAGGCCTTTTGTCAAAAGATACTGTTTCTGACAGGTCATGAAGGTTCTACAGCTCAAGTGCAAGACTGTTACAGGTGTTTCGAACTCACCTCATTGGCCGTAAATTGACATCTTAACACATAGGTGGGTAGAGACGGATGCCATGTGGCAGGTTGACTCATAGGAAATGAGATACGAACACCATGTGCAATTTAACATGGTCTAATTGTATTGGCTGTGGTCGATGCGTGTCGTAGTGTTGAAGAATGAAAATAGTCAGCACTAGATGCACTTTGCTTTTACTTCCTCCGCCTCTCGCACAAGTGCAAATACAATATCATTCAAAACTTACTCCCTATAACTGCTCCGTCGGCATTATAATTACCCATGATTTCTCGTTCTATACGTCTTCCGACCCCGAAGACGCATCAGTATTAGCGCTTAAGCCGGCCTCGGATTCGATCCTTGCTTCCGGGCTTGTCCTGATAACGATCGCTTCGGTCCACAGTCGTGTACAGTTTGACGGAGTTAGAACAAGCCTCTGAATGAGGATCATGTATAACAAGAGGTTGTAGACCTGGCAAACCCAAAAGTGTACCTGATGCACGTCAGACCTGTACCTTACTTGCGGCTAACTGAGAGAAATACCACAATAAATTGATTGAACGCGTTTGCTGCACTTCATTTGTTGCGCATGAGTAGTGTGAAAGATGCAACATATCGATGCAATATGTGTAGCTGCAAGAGGTAAAATAAAATCTGAATTTATCATGCCTTCTCAGATATAGCGGAGCGAAACGCCTGGTAGATATCGAGGAATGCGTGGTGTTACTAGCGCATTCCCTTTGCGGCCAGATTGTATAAGCTGACGAAAGACGAGTGCGAATACTTCAATTCTGATACGTACGTGGCATCATATAAGAGGCAAGCATGAACCAACATGTAGATTACGCGCAACTATCGCTGATACGGTCATTCCGCCAGATGTCCAAATATCATTCAGATTGATTTTATGTCACGAGTCACTATTGATCAGCACGAGGTTGTCATGTCAGATTATGGATGGCCGACGCGGGTAAAGACATTATAGCAATTGGACAACACTCACGAGCAATTGAATGGAAGTCGAATGCTGGACGGGTCCACAACTGGTCTCGAAAGCACAACGACCAGGCAAGCTGATCCAGTCGAAGCAACCTTGATCGATTAGGCGCTTTATGTCATCGATCATCGACGCTGAATGGGAAAGGAAGACAAGGAAGGCATGTACTCCTCATAATTTTACCAGCAACTCCAAGTCGATGACTATGCTTTGTATTCAACCAAGTCTTACGGTACATGTTGCAGTACGAGGTGTAAAGAGTTCGTTTCTGGCAAATCTGTACAATCTCGTAGACGCGATCGGCGCCGCGATTTTAACGAAGTTGTATGTTTGAGAGAAAGTTGGCTCTGACGTAGACTTCGTAAGGGTAAGAAGGGTTGTCTACACAAGCAAAGGAGCTGGACGCCGTCAACATCGTATGCATTTCATATAATTGCAGCTTGTGTTTATCGGCTGGTCACGAAGTATCCAACCAACGTGAGCACACTTCATAGGGGTAGAGCTCCTATTCGGTACTTTCCGTTTACAGGCTGTGTGGCCGCAGCAAAAAGGAGACTCGTTCGTCATTCTAGTCACGAACATTGTCCCATTTTTCACATCTTTCTACGTCGACCTCAGAATTAGGCTCGCGTTACGTAAAAACTAACAGCTTATCTCATCCAGCACGAAGTGTTGCAAAACCCGCCGTCATCTTCGCTTAAGTACAGCCTCATCGTACTTACTCGCGTATCCGCAGTACTACCGCGCGTCCCACGCGCCACGTAGCCGCAGATATCGTCTCGCAGCCGCGTCCCTCACTCCTCGCGCGTGCCCCAATGGTCAGCCCTCTCGGCCCCCTCTTGTGCGTAGCGGCCCTCTTCGCGGCGCTGCAGTCTCCTCGTCCTGCACACGCCAAGCGCCTCGACGCCGTGTCCTTCGAGAAGCCCTTTGACCGCGTCGATAGCGAAGGGCAGCGCCAAGTCGGGCGCGATTTTGTGCATGGCGGCGACACGGCCGTGAGCCGCCACTTTGCTCGGCTCACCCCGGATCGCCAGCAGAAACGTGGCTACATTTGGGGCACGCAGCCGCTCGGCGTCAAGGAGTTTGCTGCGGTGCTCACGTTCCGGATCAGTGGCCAGGCCAAAGCGTGGTTTGGCGACGGGCTCGCGCTCTGGGTCACGACCTCGAGCCAGTACGTGCAGGGCGACAACCATGGCTTCATTGGCGAGTTCAAGGGCATTGGCGTCGTGTTTGACACGTTTGTCAACCAAGAACACAATGGCGGCCACAAGGACGTGACGTTCTTTGAGAACGACGGCACGAAGACGCTGGACCAGCTGAACGAAGCCAACAAGGTGGGCTGCATGGCTCCTGGGATCCGCTACCACGAGAAAAACGCAGCGTTTAGCCCGTCGCTCAATATGTCGCGGGCCAAGATCACGTACACGCAGGCGGATCAGCAGATCACGGTTCTCATTGATGCAGACGCCTCGGGCAGCTGGGTCAAGTGCCACAGTCAACGTCTCGACATCGGGGACGACTGGATGCATGACGCATACATTGGCATCTCCGCTTCGACTGGCGGTCTGGCAGACAACCACGATGTCATCGCGTTCAGCGTTTACGAGTAAGTCGGCTTCTGCTGCTTTCTGTATCAAGACTGTACTTCTGTGCGGCTGTTGAGTCTAACCGCCTATTTTTGACACTCTAGTGACGTGATTGACTCGCTTGCTGCCGAGGAAGACGAGAAACATCGCAGCGCTACAGACAAGAGCGTCGAAGCCACATTGAGCGGCGGGGATGTCAGCGACAAGGTGAAGCTGGTCAAGCGCAAGTACGCCCAGTTGATTGAAGATTTCGAGCACCAGTTTACTGCGCTGAAGGAGGCCACTGGAAACACGATCCAGAAGCTGAAGGAACAGGAAGTTGAAGACGAAAAGCGAATCGCGGAGCTCGAGACGTGGGCAAGTGGAAAAGTCTTCGAGCGTTTGAGCACGTCAGTGACCGCGATCCGCGACCAAGTGGACACGCAATTGCAAGAGACCGTTAAGGAGACCGCTGCGAAGTCTGGAGGTTGGAAGACGCCGTTTTTCATTGTTGTGTTCATCATGGCCGGCGTCGTGGCTGTGGGTTATAAGAAGTACCAGGATCTCCGCAAGACCCACTTCCTGTAGCCCGTCCGTCATGTGAGGAACAAGTTTTATTTTTTCTGTTTGCTTGCACCCACAGGGTGATAGATACCGTCCATCACTCGCGGTAGAGATGGCAGTGTAAAGACGCAGTCAAGAGATAAAATGGCAGCTTGCATTCGTGTCTATCGACCCAAAAGTGGACTCTCGTGTCACACACTACGTGTACTTCCCTAAGCACGTACGTGTCTCTGTACATGTTATACAGCTTGCCTAAATACCGATGATGTCGTTCATCTTACAATCCACGTGCACAGCGATTTTCGCTACACGTGTGACAACATGGATGCAAGCGTCGCGACAACAGCTTGCCGAACACAACTCGGGTTGTACAACATGTAACGTAATGAAGGCACTACACACGGAAGAACCCACTCAATGCGACTCGCTGTTGTCGCACTGAGTCAAACTAGGCAACACGCGAGACTCACAAGATGCTAGCAGAGGTGGGTCGTCCAAACTGAATATCTAAATCGCATCGACAAGAAGTTTTTGACGAGTTGGTCAGGGTACATTGGAAATGCAATTATGTCTGCAGCGTTTCGCACCCAATGACTCGACTCGTTCACGCACCGTCAACTCCCCTCTCTTTGCCGACTAGAACGCGGGCGCTATCCGCTCACAATTGCGGGACGCGTTGTACACCACCAGTCTACATCACTCAATACAAACTTCTGTAGCTCGTCATCGAGGTCAAACGTGCCCACGACAAATGTTAGGCTTTCGGCAATTTACGAAATCCGACAGCTACAGAACGATCTAAACATACTTGTTCAAGCTCGAAACCACCACAGCTATGACGATCTCGTTGCCGTCTTTGCGTTCACTTGCTCTGTCATTGGGACGGAGAAGATCATGGGACCCTGCGGTAACGTATCCGCCCATCAGAATCAGCCTGAAATCGAGATCCCGCTAAGCAGCAGGTGTTCTGCCTGGATCATGGCACGGTAGCACCTGCCTCAAGCGCTGCCGCTATGAGTGACAATTATTGGAAACTGTACGATACTCATAGCCTCGACACCCCGAGACTTGGAATAGGCACGAGTATAGTTATACGAGAGCCTCTCATAGCTGTCAAATGCATCCGGTCCTGCAGATATCTGTTTCGACAGGTGCTATCCACAATGCACCGGCTGCACCTGTCGCAGGAATTTTTGGTTGGCCAGGTCTCGTCCATTAAGCTCCACTGTGTGTGGATGTCATCATGACCATATCGAAGCCGTCCAAGAAGCAGCGCGGAAAGCTCAAGTCCGCCACGACAAAGAAAGAGCCAGCGAAGACGCACGTGAAGTTCGATGACAATGGAGAAAAGGTCGTACCCAAGAAACGTGGACGTGTTGCCAAGACAAAGGACGTCGACGAGAAGAAAGAAGGTGGCGGCAAGTCGGATCGGTCCCAAGACGCGATCCAACAGGCGAGTTATTATCTACAGCAGTGGCAGAGACGTGACGAACCTAAATCCGATGACGAGCTGCCATGGAAATTCAAGGTGCGCTTTTTGTTTTTTTTGCAGCGAGAGAAGCTGAGGATGCAGATGGCATGTGCTTAGTGTCGCGTTACGCTGTGCTCGGTGCCACGTAGAAATTCAAGCAACAGTGGATTTTACAGTGGATGTATGAAGCAGACGTTGTGTCCAAGTCCATGTTTGCTGTCGTGCTAGATTACCTGGACGGAATACAAGGCGTTGCACGCGAGGTGTGCAGCTTTTTGCCTGTTTGTGAAAAATGCATGAACACTGTCTGATGATCATGTGCAGCGTGTGGCAGATCGAGCGCAAAGTATCATCGACACTGGTGTGCCGTCGAAAGATGAAGAAAACGCAGCGGCGGGGGAACAGGAAAAATTGCTCAGTATCAAGCTTGCTCGGCGGCGGTACAAGCGTGCTCTGCAAGTGGCCGAGTTGCTGGCTTAACTCGCGATCGTACAAGGATTCGCATCGGTGCTCGTCCAACTCTGTGTAGTATCAACACGTGGATCACGAGACGCTGTTATGGACGAGTCTAGCTGTCCTAGCCTACGTGACCCAAGACCACGTCACGAAAGCGATCGGAGGGACAGTGGCCGTCCGGAGCTTCGCGCATTGCTAGGATGTCGCCATTAAGTCGAACACGAGTAAAGAACTTCCCGCTATCGTTTTCCACTAGCTCGAGTGCAAGAGTCGAGGAATAGTCGGGCCAATACCCGATGTCGTTCGCTACGTCGGCATCCAACGTGCGGAGGACCGATAGCAGCGACACGTCGTGTCCACTATAAACTACAACTTTTTTGCTTTCGCGATGGTCCCACATAGCCTTTTGCATCTGCAATGTCGAGAGAAAAACAATCAGCCGCGCACATGAGAAAGCAGCTGTGATTGCACAGTGGCGTACCTCCAATAGCACGTTGTGCATCAAGCGCCCAGCCACGAGCTTTAAGATCGTGCGATGGGAGTAAAACTGACAAAACGAGAACTCGGTCAGAAGTACTGCGCACTTTCATGCAAGCTCCTTCTTCCCTACCTGGTGGAAACGAAACCCAAGGTGTCTTTCGGTCACATCGGCATACGTTTCGGTGCCTGGGATACAGGGGGCCTGATGAGCACGCCGACAGACGAAATAGTCTGCAGCCGTGAGCCACGTGAATGGGACTTGACCCGAGTGTACAGCTGGAAAAAGCCGCATTAACTCGTGCTTGATCGGTGTCATCTCGTGCTCACGTGCTGCAAATTCAGCATTATCCCGTTCCATATTCGCCTTCACCCTCTTGATCTCCGGAAAGATAGCATACGCTACAACGTGTCAAGCCACACTACATTCAGCATCAACGACCAGCGTCCAGCCACGCCATCAAGCATTTCACGACGCACTGTTGATGATGTCTTCCTCCGGTGGGAGAACTCGGACACAAGGAACCGATTGACAGCGGTCACTCAGCATGCCATCTAGCAGTGACTGCACACTGAGCTGAGTCCGTGTGTAAGCGCTACTGTACACCTGCAGCTGCTCGGTTGTCACTGCATCGAGTCGTAGCTCCTCGTCCTCGCAGAGTTGTCTCTGTCACAGTATAGCCAGCACCAAGACGGTTTAGCTTGCAACTAGGTAGTATCAACACAAAAAGCACCGCTCCAGATGACTGCAACCTGCACCTCACCAGCCACTGGCCCCGCATCCTCATTTGCTCAATACCTCGAGTCGTTAAGTACCCAAAAGGCCGCTGCTGGAACGAGCTCGAAGCGTCGGTGCTCGACTGGACGCTAAACCTGGAGCCAAGTTGCGCGCGTTGCTTCGGTCCAGGCAGGTGACGATCCCATAGCTGTGCTTCCTCTTTCTCCATGCGAATGTCGCTGCTGCCTCGCAAGATGTTGACCAACGGGGTGCGGTCGCCGTGGCGATGGATCACCTGCAGTTGACGCAGACGAAACGCCATGGAGATGTGGAGGAGACCTTTGTAGTTTGTGTACAGCACACCATGTTCGATCGTGGGGCGCAGGGTAAAGAAAGCACACTGATGCATCGATGGCGTGTTTGACCGAGATGGCTACAGTGAGCATCTTCACTGGGTGTGGATGCAGCATTGACACTGTCAACAACAAAAAAGGTGCCTCTTCGTCTTGTTTGCGCTAGCCTTCAAACGAAGGGCTGGGAAGAAGATGTGTTTCGTTTTTGACTGAGATGCGTTGGTAAAACGCATTGACAAGTGATGCACAATGTTTTTTTTGCCTGGACAACTGCAACGTCAGTCAGCTGGCGTACGTGTGCTGCAGTCTCTTTACCACCTGTCTAGTATTCTAACAAAGCACATGCTTGCCTTGTCCTACTTAGCTGACGTGTGTGCTAACGAAGTTGACAACTTGCAAAAGTGCTTGGTGTAGTGGCACGTAAGCTTCACTGTTTAAGTGAGAAACTTGACGGCACTCATGCTGCCGCTGCACATGGCAGTGCATCAAGTGCGTTAGGTTCCTCTTGACAAAGGTACCATCGCAATTTTACGGACTCTCGTTACCACTACATTGGCGCTTACCCCCTCGAGTCACTCGAGGGGGTAAGCCTCCTTCCGTGTGCTATGTCCCCACACTCGACTCGAGTATGGAGACATAACACACGGAATGGCTGCAGCCAGGTGTTCGGTGTGTACGTGGGCCGGTGATTTTCATTGCACTTCGATGTTGCTCGGACGCGAGGCCTACCACTCAAACAAGACAAGTTTCGGTTGTCACTCCATGTCCGTCATTCAGTACTGTTGTACTCGATAGCTGACTGGACTAGCGGTGCCTGGACCGCAGCGAGTTCGACCACCCGCCTCACGCCACAAGCAAAGCTGTGCTTTTACATACGTCACAAAAAGGACGGTGTATTGGTGTTGCGTCGGCGCTTTACAGCGTACTTCGTAAAGTCCGTACGCTGGTGCTTGGATGCAAATGCTTCATTCACTGCGCGATTTACGGTACATGCTTGCTACCTATCTGGCTGGATGTCTTTGTGGCTCTGGTCAAACTGTTGGTGTCCTTTATTCTTCGTGTTTGTTTGCATGTACTAGAGTGGCAGTGACTTGACCAGTTCATACGAATACATCGGTCATCGAAATGGTACATGCCAGCGTCGACTGAGATACGACAGCTCGAGCTCGAACATGGAGTCCCAAAGCTTGCCGGTCACAAACACATGTCTCGTCTCAGGGTCATAAGCAATTCCATTCATGACGGCGTCCAGCTTATACGGAGAGTTTTTCATGGCCTTGCTGTGAATGTTAGCCACCATCTCGGTTATCGAGCGCAAGTCGATATGCTCCAGCACGTCACCCGTCGTACTATCAATGCGCAGGATATAGTCCTCAAGCCACACGTTGGCAAGCAGTTCCCCCTCCACAAACTCTAGCTCATTCACATTCGTCACGGGCTTGCCATCCTTCTGGACCGTGATACTGTGGTGTAGCTTGAAGTTGTCTGCTGGATCAAAGAACCGCACGTTCGCAGAGCCATCGCTGGCAATGAGAAACTCTCCATCCGTAGTGAGTCCCCAGCCCTCCTTTGTGGATGTCTTGATAGGGAACTGACCGAGCAGCTCGAACGTATCGCGCGATAGCACCAGCACCTTCTCCTTCTTGTACGTCAGCGCAAACAGCTTTTCCCCTAGGACAGCCACGCCTTCGCCAAAAATGGCGTTGTCAAAGCGGAACTCCTGCAACAATGGCAGACCCTGTGTGGCCCCCGCCTCGAACCGATCAGCAGTGAGATCCGACAGTCGATACTTGCGGACAAACGACTCGCCATTGAGCCCCGTGGACTCGATGAGCGCACCGTTGTCGAACACGAGCCCTTCCGTGAACGCACTGACGTTGTGCGGGTAAACTTTCACGATACGTACTTCTGTAGCATGGCCCTCTCTCACGGCGCTGACGTAGTAGACGCAGACTGACGACGCCAAGAGCAGCAGCACAACAATGAGACGTAGAAAGGGGCTGCCATCAGTGCAGCAGGCAGGAGCGGCTACGACACGGGGCATGAGGGTCAAGAGATAGAGGCACTAGACTGACAGTGTCTGGAATGCAGTGCAAAAGAGACTGAACGTATGATGCCAATAACAACGAAAGTCGCAATTCGAAGCTGAGAAAAACCGATTGTGCACACGATCGCCCCCGAAAGCTGATGTGGCGACCGCGAACAGCACGAGCGACACGCCAGTTGTACTGACGGAATGACTGAATAGCTCATCGGTAAACGTGTCGTTTTGGCAGGACGCATTTGGCTACAATTTGCTGCCTGGACGGACTACCTCTCGCGGTGGTCAGTTTTGTGCAGAAAAGCACTTTTCAAACAAAGTTTCGTGCTATTTGTTGTACGCTATCGCAGCCTTTTTTAGCGGACGGAGAAGACTGGGTTTAGCTACTCTCGCGTGCTCGTCAACGTTACAACTGGGTGAGCCAAATCACATGTCATTAATGCCAGGGAACATGGGGATCATTTACCCTTTTTGCGAAAATATGTTTTCTATTCCAAAAGTGAAAAACGTGTGAGTTTTATACCACCAACCTTTGAAAATATTAAAATTATACCGAAACGACTAATTCGTAATCGCAAGTGTAAATAATGAAAATATACCAAAAAACATAAGTTCGTGTAAAAACATGAATAATATACTTCAGTCTGAAGTTTACACATTCTTAAGTGCCTCATCGTTTATAAACTCTCATCTGATGACGATGACGAATGTTAGCAACGGCGCCTACCTTGGTGAGACACAAGTAACAAGCAACGATTGTTCGCCAGGAAATTGGGCAGACGGGCGCGCATATTCCTGCTCACGTAAGTACGCAAGTCGCGACGACATATCGAGTGTGGTATTTCTGTACAACAAAGAAGTTGGGCGGGCGTTTCGTGTCGTATCGAGCGATTGCAGACCTTACAAGGCGCTTTGTGTCGATCCAGAATGCAAATTCGCAGTCTATTTTGCGTATGGTAGGTGGTTTGAGCCGCCCCACACGTTTGTGCCACATACATGCGACGCTACGAGGGTTAAATTGGCTTCTTACGAAGCGAGTCGTGAAAACAAGGCGTCATGATATGACTGAGACGACATCTCCACTTCATACTGGTCCGACCAGTTGTCAACTCATTGCATATCACTACCAACCAGACCAGATTCAGCCAGTATGAACCCACGCGTATGGGACGTAGTACACAGCGAGCGCTCACGACACACAGAGTAGCAGTAGAGAGTATCTGTAGACCGCCACGCGCTATTGCTAGCATTCAATTCGTTCTCACTTTTACCACACATCCCAGTGTTGCCTTCCAATAATCTCCTCTGGCCCGTTTGATCCCTCTGCCATCCAAGGGCCTGTCATTTTAATTTATCACATTTGAATGGGAACTCAAGAATCACTTCCCATCGCCATGGGTCGGAACGACGACGACGACGAGTACGTCACGTACACAATCGTCACGTGTTCAGCAACGGACGCGCTACCTGCGGACACCGCAAAGATCAAGATCCCTAATTAATGCGGTAGGACTGCAAAGAGCTGGCTCAAGTGAAGCATGCGCTTTAAGAGCCTCGTTGCGCGGAAGCACTGGTCCACGGAGCAAGCAGCAAGACAGATCATCATCCTCATCCAAGGTGAGATTAAACAGGACGTCCAGACGCTCGCTCGACAAGCAGTCGAAGCAAATGCCTCGTTCGAGGACTTCTACGACCAGATCCGCATGCTGATGGTACCTGGCGACTTCAGCGAGGACCTAGACGAAGCGCTGTCGTCACTAATTTAGCGATGCGATGAGACGGTGCAAGCTCTCAGTCACCGTTTGAAGCAGCTCGTGCGCCTCTTCGCGGAGCTGCCGACGAACGCCGAAGTCATTCCGGAGGTGCAGCAATGACGCTTCTTTAAGCGTGCCATGCCGAAGGACTGGCAAGACAAACTTTCAGCCGCGGGCGACCATTACGACAAGCTGACGGCGATTTTTCTGTACTTCGGGCGTCTAGAGAAGCGTGAGAAGGTCAACAGCTGCGACAAGTCGCACAACAGAAACATCAGCAACCAAACCGGCGGCAAGGCATCCCGCTTCTCAAACGCAAGCAAACATGAGTCCAACAACAGCAATTAAAAGCACGACACCAAGAGCAGGAGCAACAGCACGTCGAATATAAAGCCCAAAGGCTAGTGGTGCATATTCCACAAGACCGACTCGCACAAATCTGCCGACTGCTTCGTCCTCAAAAAGCAGCGTCAGGATGAGAACAAGCGAGTGGAAGCCAAGCCAAAGCAGCCTACACAAAACTACTCTCGCATCTACGAGTTAAGCTACAGCGAAGACGAGATCAAGATGATCGGCTTGCTGGAGAAAGAGCCAGCGAACAAGATCGCGCCGCTGCGCATTAAGGTGCAGATTCGACACGACAACCGCGCGTCCGACGCTCTGTACGACAGCGGTGCATAAAAGAGCATCATCAATTCAACCACGATGAGCGCCAACATCAAGCACGGAAGCAGCTCGCTCCCTCATCTACAACGTTTAAGACAGTTGGCGGTGACGTGCAGCGGCTCTACGATGGTGCAGTTTATCCTTCCTATGCTCAACCCTAAGACTACAATCACTCATCGATAAGACTACAATCACTCATCGTTTAGAAGTTATAAACGACAGCGAAGACGAGATGGTCAATAAGGGCAATCTTATGGATTCGATTGGAATTGTGCTCAACTTCAAAGACGAAGTCATCTGGTGAGACTGACATCAAAAGTCTCTCAACACTGGTGGCAGTGGCACAGCATCAGTTCCCGCGGACATTCGTGATCGCGAGTTTTCAGGCGAGTACAAGGAGGTCGTTGACGACGATGTCCATCCTACCGACTTGGTGCCCGATCGAATGTCGGCACCGCTCGTCGCTCACGTCCTAAAGCTTTTGGAGGAGCATAAGCTACTGTACGACTGTCACTTGGGTCGAATGCGCTTTGACGACTACGTGCTTCCGCTGTCGCCGTACTTCCTTGCCGTCCATGCAATTCCGTACGCACTGTCTCGCTCGAAGCCAAGGCCAAGGACGAGACTTGGCGCCTGCTTGACGCCGGTTTGCTTGAGCAAATTTACGACTCCGATAAGGCATCGCCAGCCTTCCTAATCACGAAGCCAAATGGATCGCTGCATTTGCTTATCGACTTCCGAGTGCTGAACGAGTACCTGCGTTGCAGTCCGTAATACGTTCCCAAAAACTCGAGATTCTCTTTCGTTTGTCTGGCGCCAAGTTCCTCTTTGCATTCGACGCAATCATGGAATATTATGCCAGGCGTCTAGCCAAGCAGACTCGAGCTCACACGATAATCTATCTTCCATTCAAAGAGTACCAGTACAAATGTCGGCCAATGGAGATCTCAACGGTACCCGATGAGTATTAAACGTGCATGGAGACGATCTTCGGTGATCTCCCGTTCGTGGTCGTTTACTTGGATAACTTACTCGTGTACTCCAAAACCGAGAGCGAGCACCTCGAGCACCTGCGTGTGCTGTTCGAGCGTCTGGCAAAGTAGGACGTGACACTCAATGGCAAGAAGTGTCACGTGCTGCGTAAGTCTGTCGACCACCTCGGCTTTACACTTACAGCTCAGGGCATTCAACCACAAGCAAAGAAGTCCCAAGCCGTCAACAAGATCGCCGTTCCTCGCAACAAGAAAGAGCTGCGTCGCTTCCTAGGTATGATCAATTACTATCGCGATATGGTCCCCAACAAGTCTGCACTATGTGCGCCGCTGAATCGCTTCACGAGCTCCAAAGTCGCATTCACATGGCACCAAAGCGATATCGACGCATTCCGCGACGTCCAGAATGCGTTTGCAGAAGCTGTTCCGCTGGCGTTCCCTGCCTTTGACCTCCCGTTCCACGTCTACGCTGATGCAAGTGGATAGCAGCGTTTTGGCACCGTGATGTCAAGAAAGCGAGATCCTCGCCTGTTACGCTCGCGCGCTCAACAAGCATCATATCAACTATACAACGATGGAGATCGAGCTCCTGTCGATTGTGGAGTTGCTTCGCGAGTATCGCACCATGTTGCTTGGCATCGGGGTCATTGTGCACACCGATCACAAAAATCTCATCGATCCAAACGAATTAAGTCTCAGAGTCAAGCGCTGGAAGCTGCTGCTTTCCGAGTACCGTTTGTCGTTGCACTACATCAAGAGCATAAAGAACGTCGGAGCGGACGCCTTTTCCCGAATGTGATTTGACACAGCAGATCAAGCGCAAATGCACGATGTGGTCAACGCCGCGACGGACAATCCACCATGTGTCATGCACGGCCCTGTCATCCGCCAGCACCAGGAGCGCGATGAAACGATCCAGACGATCAAGTCTGCGTGCCTCGCCGGCCAGAGCAACCCGGACTACATGTTGCATACTCTCCCAGGATGCACGCTTGTCGCATTTCATGGTCGCGTCGTTGTCCCAGATACGTTGCGTGACGACCTCCTGTATTGGCAACACCATAATCTCGGGCACGCTGGTCCTGGTCGCCTGTACAAGACGATGCGACAGTCGTTCTACTGTCCTGCAATGAAAGCGTCGACCATCAAGCGCGTCAAGTTGTGTCTGACGTGCAAACGAGCTCAAGTCCACGGTGGCAGACAAGACTACCGACTACTACCAACAAGGACGCTCAAGACAGTGAACCCGCGGGACGTCGTGCACGTCGGCCTATATTGGTCCGTACGATGGCTATTACGGTACCACGATCATCGATCAAGTGACACGCTGGCTCGAAGTCGGCGTTCAACCAGACAAGAACAGCCCGACGACAGCAGAAATCTTGACCGCGAGTGGATTTGCCGTTATCCCCGTCCAGTTCAAGTCTTTCATGATCTTGGTGCTGAGTTCACTGGTGAGGAGCTCCAAGAACTCTTGGAGAGCTACGAGATTAAGTCGAAGCCGATCACTGCAAAGAACCCGCAAGCCAATGCAATTCGCGAGCGCATCCACATGGAGCTTTTAAATGTTGTTCGTCGCCGCGACAATATC